GCAGGAGGAGGGTGGCAGGGGAGGATGTCTGCCGCCGAGGAGGGGTGAGCATCTCGGGTACGGTGAAAGCCAAACCGGGTGGTGGATGCCCCGGGCATCCCTGCCCTGAAGAGCAGGCAGCCCTGCGCCCCATGGGGGGGACATGTGGGGTGCCAGCCCCCCGTCAGTCCCAGCTGAACTGGTGGCGGGCAAAGCGGGGCTGCAGGCCCGGGGGGACGCAGTGGGCACACTTGTAGCGCTCCCGGATCCACCGCCCGCCCTCGCTGTCCTCGATGCAGATGGCGGCGATGCCTGCGGGACAAGAGGTGGGGCTCAGCGCCGGTCACCTCAGGGTACAGGGACAGTGCTCCCACTGCACCCATGGGTGCACCCCGGGGTGCCCCAGTACCTCCCCTCCTACCTGCCACAACCCCCCCCAGCCGCTCCACCAGCTGGATGGCTGCTCGCATGGTGCCCCCGGTTTCGACCCACTGGTCCACGAGGAGGATGCGCAGACCTGGGAGGGGGCAGAGGCTGCGGCTGAGTGCCCGGTGCCCGGTGCCCGGCCCCCGGGGTGCAGCTGCCCCCCCCCCCCCGCCGGGATGGGAGCACCCTGCCGGCTCACCTGGTGAGATGGCATCGGTGCGGACCTCCATCACCTTCTCTCGGCCCGAGTAGTCGGTGTAGGGCTGTTCCAGCGTCTGCACACAGAGGTGCCCGGCTTTGCGGATAGCCAGGAAGCCTTTCTGCAGCGTGGTGGCGGCGGCAGCGCCTGGGGGTGGGCATGGCACCGTCAGGCCCCGCGGGGACGAGGGACGGGGTCCCTGGGCTCACCCGCATTCCCACTCACCCAGGATGAAGCCCATGGCGTCGATACCAGCCACCATGTCGATGGGGTCTCCCTGGAAGGGCTGCAGCAGGTCAGCCATGCAGTCCTGCAGGCCCTGGGGAGAGAGCGGAGGTGCTGGGTGCCCGCAGCCCATCATGGGCATCTGCAGCCCGTGTGCCGGTGCCCGTGGGCACGGCCGGGTGCCCTGACAGCCCCGGGGCGCGCCCCCCCCCCGGGGCCCCCCCGAGGGTGCCCTCCACCTCAGGCACTGTGTACTTGCGGGTGGCAGTAGAGCCGGGAGGGGTCCAGCCAGGCGTAGTTGGGACCCTTGACGTTGGGGGCCATCAGTGCCAGGTACCAGCCCTTCTCTCGGGCGGCGGGGACGTGGCACAGGTCCATGCGCGAGGCCCACAGGTGCTGCGAGCACTGAGCATGTAATGGAGGTGAGATTCCCCACCGGCAGTCCCCGCAGGGCTCC